GTTTGCCTCGGTAACATATTGCCTTGGTGACTATTTTCATTAGTAAAATTTTTAATTTAATATCATTTTTCATCGCTTAAATTTTTAATTGTTAATATTTTTCATTGCTATCATTTTTTATTGATATAATTTTTCATGGGTAATACTTTTCATTGGTGACATTTTCATTGGTGACATTTTTATTGGTGACATTTTTCATTGGTGACATTTTTCATCGGTGACATTTTTCATTGGTGACATTTTTCATTGGTGACATTTTTAATTGTTAACATTTTTCATTGCTATCATTTTTTATTGATATAATTTTTCATGGGTAACATTTTTCATTGCTGACATTTTTTATTGGTGATATTTTTCATTGGTGAAATTTTTAATTGGTAACATTTTTCATTGCTATCATTTTTTATTGATATAATTTTTCATGGGTAACATTTTTCATTGGTGACATTTTTCATTGGTGACATTTTTCATTGGTGACATTTTTCATTGGTGACCATTGGTGACATTTTTTATGTATGACCAACATTTTATTGATATTTTACTCTATTAAAAAGAATTGGATAAAACAAATTTACGCAAAATATTCTTAATCACCCCCCCCCCCCCAGGAACAAACTCTTGTTCCGTTAAAACCTTTACATCAATTAAATTCAATGATTAGACTTTTTCAAAAGTTCTTATTCACATTTCTTAACATAGTTCTTGTTTTCTTGCAGTTTACAAGAATACACAAGAATTGGTTACAATGTTTTTTTTACATCGGTGATTCGGAAAAGGTGTTATTAAGAATTTAGAAAAACCTGGGTTAGATACAGTAGTCAGCGATTCCAGCTATACAATAAAGACGACTTTTATTATTGATGCTTTGATCCCTTAGAAGCATTTTTCAAATACAAATTTTCAAGAAAACATAGAGAAGCTGTTAATTGACAACTTCTATTTGTTTTCATGTTTTTACTTGATTGGCAGAAATCAAAATTGAAATAAATAAACGTCTTCATTGTATTGATATATACGACGACGACTCTCCCTAAATCGACATTTGGATTTATAAGGAAACAATTAACTAACTTATCTACAGGGTGTTCCAATAAACATGGGAATTCAGTGACGAATTCGATATCGTCTTTTCAAATAATTCTTTGATTTAGTATAGTGATACCTACTGCGAAAGCTGCAGTAATTCGTGAGATTTTTGTCTGCTATGTTTACAATTTATTTATTTATGTTTTGACTGCATTCGGTTGTACTTTGTAAAACGAGAAAATTACAATATTGCGGGGACATTATAGACACATCTTTAAAAGCCATTTACCGTTTTCATAAAATAAACTCTAGCAGACATAATTATATTATGGCTTTTGAAATTAGGTATTACAATGCTATTTCATAACAAAGACGATATCGAATTCGTCACTGAATTCCCATTTTTTTTGGGACACCCTGTATTCAAAAATACAGTTTAGGCCCGGGGATCTCTTGAATGAGAAATAAAAATTTATTTATCAGCTTTGGTCAGAACATCATGCCTTCCAGGTGGGGGGGGGGGGCTATGCATGGATATCACATCATAGTTAAAGAAAGTGAAAAAGGGCAAACAAACAGAAGATTATTGAAAAAAATAATTATCAGCAATAAAAACATGCATCAATTAATATAAGTAAGTCCCTTAATATTGTTATCTATAAAAATATGAAAAGTAAATAAATCCCTATTTGCCAAAAAAAATATTTCTATAAACATTGTGATGGAAAGTGTTAAATGTAGAGTGTAATTCAAATTGTTATTTTTACCGTTACTTGAAATACAAACAAAATATTCACGCAACCTCGATACAAAAGCTTTAAATTATAACATTTATAACAATATAACATAATTCGGCGTCTTCGTTCAATCTTCGAAGGGAGTGCTGACGATATTTTAAGTGGCTCTCTATATATAGTTTGTTATATCCGATTAACAACATCAGTACCCGTACAAGATTAGTTGGATTAAGAAGGCATATATAGAGATATCCATTATCCATAATTTTCGGTATGAAAAATCATATTTAATTGTGGATTCTAAACTTAGTAATTTTCGAATTGCTCCTTTAAAAACATTGGAGGAAATCGTTAGAATTAAACACTTTTTGAGCTAGAAAAACGACACTTTCTTCCACATTATTGTTCACATAAAGGCTTGAAGGGTACCGCTGTGAATTTGGCATATCCCTTCTTTAGATTAGAAAACTTGAGAATATTGTAGTTTGTAAATATAACATTTTCTGATTCAAATTTTAAGATCCTCAGCAAAAATTTCTACTCAACATTTTTTATTTTGAAATCGTGAATTTCAAAATTACTTTTATCAAAATCAAAATTTTTCTTAGGCACTGTTTAGTTGTCTAGATACTGTCTGTGCTGCTAGTCTTGCTGGGGAGGAGATACGCTGAAGACTGTTTGGCGTATTTATTGGTGAGTAAAGTTGCGCATTTCTTCTCATGGCTTAGAAAGGTTTGTTTGACTTTTGATCTTACAAATTCCAATATTATATCAAGTATTTTACTACAATTATAACCACGCCTTGATTTTCTAAAAATGATCGTATCAACCTTTCTATCTATCTATCTCAGGTATCTTACTGGAACACGATATTGCTTTTTGTTGGTTTTCAAAAGTAATACACGTTACAGGATACAATTTATAATAAATCTAGAAATATTCATTTACATCCTTTCATATATCCTGTACTTCCATACATTATATTCCTACATACTTAATACCACCCCCTTTCCATATTTCCCATCCATCCATACTCATATATACATAGTCCTTACTATTCTTCCCATACTTCCCTTTCTTCCCATCCTTTCCATTCTATACCATCCTTCCCATTCTTACCATCTTTTCCTCCTTCCCATCCTTGCCATCCTTTCAATCCTTTTAATCCTTTAAATCCTTTTAATTCTTCCCATCCTTCCCATCCTTCGCCATCCTTTCCATCCTTCCCATCCTTCTTATCCTTCCTATCCTTCCCATCCTTTCCATCCTCCCATCCTTCCCATCCTTTCCACCATTCCCATCCTTCCCATCCTTCCCAACCTTCCCATCTTCCCAATTCTGTAAAGTCTAGAATAAGATAGACGATGTAAATTACCACGAAAAGCTTTCTGTATCTATATTAGTAGATGTTATCTTTTCATTTCTTATCCAGTTCCTGATAATTAACAATCAGACCTTTTATATACTATAATCTTACCTCCAGGTTTATTGCGTACACTTAATTTCAAATATTTGATAAAATTATCGTTTAAAAACTGGTTAAGAAATTTAAATTTTTTTCTTCATTTTCATAATTGCTTTATAGAGGGAAAAGTATTCTTATGTCTAAAAACCTTCTAAATTTTGTTTACAAATATGCAAAGTCGATTAAACACGATTTGGTTCGGCATTTGTTTTTGGTTCTATTTGATGGATGTTATGAGGATGTAATAATAATGATTAATGTTGNTACAGCTAAATTCCTAATGATTTACAAATGTGTTGAGAATACCGACCTTGGATACCACCCGTAGCACGGATCATCCTTTTGTCCAACACCCTCATTCAAACTCGATATTGCTAACCCAACAACTGTCCAATTTTTCTATCAAAATAATTCATACTCGAAATTACCAATTCGACAATTGACTTTTTTTTCAACAACTTGCTGTGGTTTACTGGAAAAATTTCTAGATGTATTGGATACCCTCATTTAAACCTAAAATTGCTACTCGACCACTGCTCAATTGACAAACATTCATATTATAACTCATTGTTGCTAACTTGACAATCACCAATTTGTGTAACACACTGATTCCTGGAGGGTTGTAACTATCCCACCATATTTTAACTGGGCGGCAATAAAAACCTATGTATATCGGATATTATTTTCTCCTTTTGGACTAAACTATGTATGTAAATCAAGTTTGAACTATGCCTTTTCGAGGGTAACTAGGCGGCAATAATAACCTATGTATATCGGGTATTATCTTCTCCTCTTTGAGAGAAAGGAGGCTGCAATAATAAAATATGTATATCTGCTTTAAACTATTCCTTTTTAAGGCCGTAACTTGGCGACATTAATAAACTATGTATGTAAAGTTTTATCTTCTCCTCTTGGACGGTAACTAGGCGGCGATTATAAACTATATATACCGGGTTTGAACTATTAGTCCCTAAGGGTAACTGGGTGGCAACAACAACCAATGCATATCGGGTTTAAATATTACTCCTCGAGGGTAACTAGGCTCTAAAACTAGTTCTGAATGGATTATCACAGTGAGCTCAATGAAATGCCTATAGGCCTCTAACTACAACGATAGCTTTTCATTTCTTGCTAAACACCTTGGAATCCACAGATTAAACAGATAGAGCAATACTTTGGAAATCACAGATTAAACAGATAGAGCAATACTTTGGAATCCACAGATTAAACAGATAGAGAAATACTTTGGAATCCACAGATTAAACAGATAGAGCATTACTTTGGAATCCACAGATTAAACAGATAGAGAATACTTTGGAATCCCCAGATTAAACAGATAGAGAATACTTTGGAATCCCCAGATTAAACAGATAGAGCAATACTTTGGAATCCACAGATTAAACAGATAGAGCAATACTTAGGAATCCACAGATTAAACAGATAGAGCAATTTCGTATTTAATCTAATGCTTTTCCATTGGACCTTAAAATGCAACTTTTTGCGAATTGTTGAATTGTTGAATTGTTGAATTGTTGAATTGTTGAATTGTTGAATTGTTGAATTGTTGAATTGTTGAATTGTTGAATTGTTGAATTGTTGATGTTAATGATGTTGATAATGTTGATAATGTTGATAATGTTGATAATGTTGATAATGTTGATGAATTTTATGAGTTGACAAAGTTGACCAAGTTGACAAAGTTGACGTTGAAGTATATTTTAAAGTTAACATTTATGTTGATGAAAATGGTGATGGTAAAGGTAATATTTATGTTGATCTTGATGTTGATGAACTTGATTTTGATTTTGATTTTGATTTTGATTTACAGGACCTGGTTGACCCTGTACCTCTTGCCCCTGGAAACAATGAAGGGAAGAAACTAAAAAAAGTTCCTTCTGTCCGAGCTTTTTCTGTTGCCAGTATGAACAAGGAATATAAACACAACTCTTTTCTCCTATTGGTCCGATATTCTGACAAACTTTAATGAGCGAAGAATTTTAGTTGTTATCGAATTGCTTGATATTTAATCAAAACTGGGACAGAAATTAATTTATTTGTGCTACTTCGTTGAACTAACTACTGCCGGTTCAAATTTGAGCCACTGATTCTCAAAGTTAAAGTTTAAGGAAGGATTTTAATCGGTGATTCAAATTTGAACCGGAATTATTCATTTGGTGCATATTTGATATCCCGCGCGCTGTGGTCATTTAAATGTTCCCACATTGGATATTGAGATCAAGCATTCCAGATTAAGGAAATTACCGACCTCAGTTTCTTTATTCTCTCGCCTCCCATTGGTTAACGTCCAAGGATTCGACCAATAAAAGTTGCAAATATTTTAAACCATCCGAAGTCAGCATTTTTACATACACAAGTCTCCGTCAATTATATTGTAGGTTAACTCCAGTTTAATCAAAACTTCCCAAATTAGTCATTTGGTCAATCTAAAATAAAAATTTATTTTAGAAGCAAAATGTTAGTTTAATGTGTTTTAAGTTTTCAACCTACTATTGAATTATGATATACAGGGTAGAGAAATGCTAAATAAGATTGCAAATATTCTACCTTGGGTTGTTAAAGCAATTTAAAAAAGTTTTATCTTTCACCTTCATACATTGGAAATATGAGACATTTAACTCTTCCCAAGTGTTAGTCCTGATCCTCTAACAAACAAAGGATCTCAAATAACAGTCTCAGAAAAATATTTAATTGTTTGAGTTTTGTTTGTACCACAGTTGGGTAAACTACCTGAGTTAGCGGACAATATCAAGAGACGAATGTCTGATCAGCTGAAGCCGGTCAACCCAGGGCCCAGATCCACTCCCCCGGGATCCTACGCTCCAACCCTGAACCCTCAGGGTACTCCGAACGATTCCGATGACGACGATAATTCTGACACAATGAGTGATTTTACAACAACAAGAAGGACATCAATGTTTCTTCAAGAGAATAAATCTAAAAACAATTCAGGAGCCATCTTTGTATTATCCAGGTTGGTCAAAATACATTTTTTCATTTTTTATAAAAATTATTCAATGTTTATTTGATGTTGTATTCCAAATTAATTTTAAATCTTAAATTACAGATTCATGCAAGAAACAGTAAGGATGGATATTGTCGGAAATATTTTCTTTTAAAACATGAAAATTTCAATTGATTGATTGTTGTTAAAGATAAAGGTTTAAAGTGTACTGTTGTGAATCTAAACTCTATAAAGGAGGGTTATTTAAAATTACCTCGATAGGAACCATATTGAGTTAATTTCAAGTAATCGATTGATACAGGGTGTCTCAAAAAATATGGGAATTCAGTGACGAATTGGATATCGTCTTTGTTATGAATTAGCATTGTAATACCTAATTTCAAAAGCCATAATATTATTATGTCTGCTTGAGTTTATTTTATGAAAAGGGTAAAAGACTGTAAATCTATAATGTCTCCGCAAGGTGAACAGTGAAGACTGACAAGTTTACTCTGTTTGTATACTGCAATATTCTTGTTTTACTAAGTACATTTGTATGCAGTTAAAACATAAACAAACAAAATGTGAACATTGCAGACGAAACTCTTACAGATTACAGCTTTCTCATTAGGTATCACTAAACTAAATCAAAGAATTATTTAAAAAGACGATATCGAATTCGTCACTGAATTCCCATGTTTATTGGGACACCCTGTAGATCTTACAATGTACACTATTCATTTAAGAAGTTGAACCCTAATTGGTAACTTTAGAGTGAATATAATATTTTCTTTTGTATAGGAGGAAGAAGCAGTTCTATTGTAAGTGGTGTGTACTAGGGGAAGGATTACTAAAATGGTTTAATGAAGACACCTCTCTTGCCAGACCTAAGGAATCATATTAGTTTAATTATAAGCCAGCTGCTTATATATTATAAATATATGTTTTTATACACGTTGATCACAAAAGTTTAAAATATGCCTATACTTTTTGTCGTACCATGATCAAAAAAGTAAAAAAAACATAATTCAAAAACTGCAGATATTTTGTTGTAAAGTAAAAATCACTAACTTTCCTGTAAAGTAGAATTGATATAATTGTAACGACTTAAAAAAAAACTTAAACTAAATAAACATTTTAGGAAACAATTATGCTAAGCAACATATTTTCTCTTACCAAGGAATAAAAACATGAAAATTTTATTTGAAATTTAACATTTTAGAAATTGTTTAATTATTTGTTCTCTTAAACTTAAATTTTCAAGTTTTTTTTTACTGTAGAGAACTGAGAAACATATTGGAACATCTCAACAAGAATTGTACTGCTTTGATATTGCAGTAGTTAATTCTAAAGGTACTCCTATCTTCTATTTCAACTTTATTAGTTGCTCAATCAATCTTTCAGCACTTTCTCTTCGATAAAACAAAAATAAATTTTTTCGCGGATTTTATCATTTTCGTGGATTTTCCAAATTTTATGAAAATCAAAAATTTGTGTAGACAATCTTTAGTAATTCTTGCATTCATAAATCTTCCCTGGGGTCGAGGCCCCACACAAAATTTGTGCACGATCAGTTCAACCGATTTGACGTATATTGGATACAAACAAACAGACACCCAGACAAGCAAAGTATATATTTAGATGTAAAAAGTACACTTAAAAATATGTCTACCATCTACTGACCAATGTAAATTGTTAGAAGATTTTTATCTAAATACCCAGAACAGTTTTATAGATTTGTGAAAAGATATAAAATTTTATTTTTACCGTTAATTTCGTTTAGGTAAGTTCTGTGTATATATGCTGGGACTGGAAAGTAACCTGGAACGCGAAGTATGGATGGAGAAAATAGTTCAAAGTCTTGGTTCAAGATTATCAACTTTTAGGAAAGTTCAATCAGTACAAAGTTAACCTTTAGACAGTACAAACTTAAACTTTGGAGTACACAGTACACACTTGAACTTTGGAGTACACAGTACACACTTGAACTTTGGAGTACACAGTACACACTTGAACTTTGGATTACACAGTACACACTTGAACTTTGGAGTACACAGTACACACATTTGAACTTTGAAGTATACAGTACACACATTTGAACTTTGAAGTACATGACTCAAAGAGGAACTCGAACTTTGGACTAAAAACAGTACACACACACTTGAACTTTGGACAACACGACTCAAACTGGAACTTTGAGTACATATACAAACTTGAACTTTGGGTTACATAGTACATAATTAAAATTTGGAGTACACCTAGTCCTAGTACAAACAAATATTAATTAAAAGCACATTTTATATTTTCGAAAGTTTGTTTGAATTTTTAATTCTTTAGTATGGTGGGATGCAAGCGTATTGGCTGGGCTTACTTAAAGGTAAAAAATGCCCCTCCCCCCCCATTTTCAGATCTTTAGGTGCCCCCCCCCCTATTTTCAGATCTTAAGGCCCCATTTAAAACGATATCTTCTAAATCTTCAACTGAGCAACAGTGAGAATGATATCGTCGTTTTTCTATCTAAAAAATGTTCATTATTTCTAGCTCTGCTGCAGAAGTCCGTCACATTTACAGAGAACCCACCATTAAAGATTATAAGTTTTCAGATAGTAAAATAAGTATATCTCAGGGGGGGGGGTATATATTGGGACATCCAGCTTACAGTCTAATTTAATAAGATTTGAATTGGCAATGAAGCTTTATGGATATTAGTATGGTTGATAGTTGATATTTGATAAATATATTTAATAATAGTATTAATAATTAGCTAGATAAAAACTAGACTTGTTTAAGGCTGGGTTTGCAGCAGAATGGAGTTTGGCCTGGCTCTATCTTGCTGATAGATATATAGTGTACGCTACTCAGGTCATTTTTGCAGATTTTCGCACAGATATTCATAGATATTCGTAGATATTTGTAGATATTCGCAGATATTCGCAGATAAATTATAGTCGCAACTTTGAAATTTAAACTAAATCATTTCAGTTTTTTAACAGAAAATTTTCCCTTTTCCATGCTTTAGGAGATGGTTGGGGGGGGAGGGGGCGCACACGCACTTCTTTTAAAAATGATTAAATCCTAGAACTTTGAAATTTAGACTAAGTCATTTCCCCAAGTATTTTAATAGAAAATTTCCATTTTCCATTTTTTTTTTTGGGGGGGGGCGCACTTTTCTTTTGAAAATAATGGCCCTCTTTCAGTTGTACCTCTGAAAGAAAAACACAAAAGTTTGCTTTCATAAACCTTTCATTACTTTACTTCATGTTTGATTTAATTTAATTTGATTTAATTTAGTTTGATTTGATTTGTTTTATTTCAGGATAGCATAGAGTTTGAAAAGATCGATCTCAAGAAAACGAAGGTACATATCTCAATGCCATTTTCACACTTTTCATAATTATTACTATTATGAGCTAAAATGCAGTAATACAATAACGTAACAATGAGTAATTGTCTTTGTTTTTAAAGGCGCCGTGACAAACTCCTGAAAGACAAACTCCTGAAAGACAAACTCCGGAAAGACAAACTCCTGAAAAGACAAACTCCTGAAAGACAAACTCCTGACGAGACAAACTCCTGACGAGACAAACTTCTGACGAGACAAACTCCTGAAAATAAAAAATTCTGTAATACAAACTCCATAATATCAAATTTTAAAAAATGTTTCACAATTTATATTTAATCTAGCCGCAGCGCTCGGCCCAGAAAGTGTCAACACTTAACCTAACCCATGGCCGCAGCGCTCGGCCCTCTAGCCTGTCCTAGCCGCAGCGCTCGGCCCAGAAAGTGTCTCAACCTAACCTAACCCTAAATAATAAAAAATAAATAATAATAAATTTGCTGGTTATTCTGATCATTGTAATACTTTGCTGCTAGAAGCATATTCAAATTACTAAAGATTGAGAATTTTTTCTAGAATATTTGCGGATTTTTCTTCTAAAGTTTATGAATTTTATCAAATTTCATTCAGAGAAAAATTTTATAATTTCAGGAGTTTGTCTTTCAGGAGTTTGTCTCGTCAGGAGTTTGTCTCGTCAGGAGTTTGTCTTTCAGGAGTTTGTCATGGCACCGTTTTTAAAATAGAGAACCATAGCAACATAGCAATTAAATAATCCAGTATTTACTTAATTTAGAATTATTTATTGAGTTACTCACAAAGGACGTAAAGATGGAAGTTAATTGCAGCTTTTTTCTTACAGTCATGGTTCTCTGTTAGTTTTAACAATTGTTTCTTCATTTGTCAAACCATATCATAATAATAATAATAATAACAATTGCAGTTGTTTTTTCTAGTAAGTTCCAGGTCGTCGTTAAAGTATCATTCTTTGTGGGTAGCCCTGTAGGTGAACACCGCTTTTAATGATATCAGTGATAATATTTAATGAAAGTATTGTCTAGGACGTGTTTGTGCGGAAGGACAGTAAGAACCTGTGCCTGCCCCTGGGGTTTACCAATCAGCCAGTTCTTGTTTGTGATTTCAACGATAGGTGAACAACATCGTTAACTAGTTTAGTTTTTAAATAGATGTAATCGTAATATCAAGTAACCTTCCATATATATAGAGAATCATCCCCAGTTCACAACGGAACCCTTTATATCTCTTTAACAGCCGTGACATTGGAATGTGTGCTAGTGCGCTATAGCGTACTAATTATAAGGCTATAGGCACGTTCAAACTTTTTCAAGCCGTTTTCTTAACGGTTGTTAAAATCTCAGGTAGCCGTTATTTTTAGAGGGTAAAAACGAAACTTCGTTTCGTTAACGGTATTTCAGTTACCGTCAGTTAACGATCTCAATTAATTTTGTTAATGGCGTTAACGGAAAATTTTTATCGACGATTATTACAGAATGAAGGGTTTTAATGGTCTCATAGACCATTAAAACCTTTATAGAATCGCACCGACAAAAAAAATCGTAAACGGTTTATGAAATTGTTAACGGTTGTGAACACAGAAGACGACATTAAAAAGTTCAATGCAATTTTAAGCAAAAAAATAAAATTCACCATTTAAAAAAAATCCGTTTCGTTTTCAACTGTTATTTTTTTATCTGTTTCGTTAACGATTTAAAAATTAACGGTTTTTGCCGTTCGTTAACGGACTCTTTTGTTATTTTTCGAAAACCTCCGTTTCTTTAACTTAACGGAATTTTGCCCAGCCCTAATTAATTTTTCCTATACTCTGTTGTTAAAATAGAATCAATTATGGTTGGCACTACGGAAATATAAAATGAGAGTAGAACTCTGAGAAAGGGAAATAGAATGTTCATATTTTACCCTAGCGCAATCATTGTTTACTAGATATCGGTGTGTTTACAATAAAACTGGTTCTAAGGTTATCCCATTACCTCACCAGTAAAATGTAAACAAACAATATCCGTCTCTCTACTGCTCGTGCACATTTTAGTGATCAAGAACAAAATATTAAATAATTATAACGTTTAAACTACAAAGGTATTTCTTTATCTTTTTGTAGAATAAACAGTATGGACCTACTTATGATTTTAAAACTGAATTAAGAATGACTGTTTTCGATCGTTGGCGAAGTTTTCTGTGATGATAATTTTGTGTTTGAAATCTATTTTAAACGAGTCTTTGATTGAAACGACAGGGTTACCCACAAAGGATGAGAAACCAAAAATCAAGCTTCAAGCAGTCTCATCCTTTGTGGGTAACCCTGTATTTGTTCTTTGTATGCACTATGCATTATATTTCTATATAATAAAAAAAGACATTCGAATATATGTTCCCTATAGCCGGCCAAATGGATGTACCGAATAAACTGAATTTTTTTAAGGGAACCCATGGGTACCCTTGGGGTAACATAGGCTAAAAAATTCTAAAATGTGTATTTTTCAAAAATCGAATTTTTTCTCAATTTTTTAACTCTATTTTTCAAATTTTTTTTGATTCCACGGCAACGCCGAGCCCTTCAGCCAGTGTTTATACAAAAAAAAAATAATATTTTTTTAATAAGTTTGACATTTTGTTTTATTTTCTAGATCTTTATATATTCTACTGGGTGTAGTGGATGAAGTAGAAGTTTGGAGATCTCATATAGAAGATATTGCATTTACCAACAATAATATACTTGCAGACCAACAGGGATTTATTCAGTTCAAGTCAATACTTTTTATCCCCCCCCCCTTTTCTTTAAATATTGCGCATACAGTTTATGTAATAAAAAAGAAGCTATATATTATTGGAAAAGCAAAAATGTGCTCTAGTATTTTTTTTCAAATATCTTTTATTTTTACCTAAATCCTATTTTGTACATATTTTCAAAGAAATTTAAATTGTCTCTCTAACTGCTTAAATTGAAGGTGACACATGAAGATGTTCCTGTAATAGTAGACAAGGAAATAAACAAACTAAATTAAAGGGCAAATATTTTGTAATTTTTGATTTATTTACTAAAAAACTGGCTCTTTTGGAGGATAAAATTGGAGATTTTTGGTCAACGTTTCAGACAAAATCTGTTTTTATATGTTTTTTCCAATTTTTGTTGTTGCGTCTTTTCCAGAAAACTTTTATCTCAGTAATTTATTTTTACAGTGCTTTTGATTCCTTTCATTTCTGCAGACCCGGATCCAGACCCCGGATTTTTCCTACAATATGATCCGGATCCAGATTATAAATATTGTTATAATCCTCAATTTTTCTTTAACAAAAGCAAAATTACCGGGTTATTTCTTTTTTTTTTGTATAATTTAGTAGATATTTCGGGGATCCAATATATCGGATATACATTTAAAGAATGGTCACTGAAATGTCTGCCGTATTATTATCTTCATGTTTGTTTTGGTTTTCAGTGTGTTAAGTTCGTATTTAGCCATGGTGTGATGACAGAGGGTATATATAGACTAGCAGGGGTAAACACTAAAATAAACAAACTACTTTCACAATTCAGGTATATATACTTATTTTTATTATTTATATACTAGCTTGGGAACTGGGGTTGTCTAGAGGCCGAATTTAAAGAATTTGAGCCGCGGCTTAAATTTGAGACGCGGCTCAAATATGATTGGTTCCACTTAGAATTATATTCAATGTTTCAAGATTTAAGCCGGTGCTCAATTGTAACCGGTTTTTGGCGGATTTTAGTCGCAACTCAAATTCATTAAATTCGAACTCAGGCTACTCATAGTCACTGTAGCTTTTTTTTCTTCGCGAGTTATGATCGGGCAAACAAATAGACAAACAGGCAAACAGAGATTACAACTTTACATATATATAGAAGATATAAAGTTGTTTAAGTTTGAATGTCCGATTGTAACTCATGAACCTCAACTCGGTAGACCCACAGTAATATTCTTAGCTTAGTTTTGAGAGTAAGTCGAGTTTAAAAGCGAAAACTTAGTTTTCCGGTAAAATTGTGCGGGTAAGCGGCGGAAGTAACTTTTAGTAACCTGGGCAGCGCTGGGATCCCAAGCTAGTATAAAGATATTGTTAAATATTTGCATATTTATTTATTCATAAAGTGATAACCAGAAAACACTAAAATAGAAAGACGACTTTTCCGACTTACTGAAATAAATTTGACGTTGTTTCAAAGCAAATAGCTTTACTTGTAAGTTATTAAAGCACTTATTAAGTGAAATGGGTCTGTTTAAACCGCACAACTGCTGTGCCTCATGTTCATAGGACTATTAAAAGTTAAAACTGGAGTCTAAAGGTCGACTTCCTATTCCAGAGTTTTCTGGTTATGACTTTATACCTAAAATGGCCGAGTTCAACCTTCCTAATATTGGAATAATAATAAAAATAGAATTGGATACACAATTTTTATATTAAAGTGATAGAATTTTGTCTCTTGCATGCATTTAATATTACAGAACAATAGCATATTGTTAAAATTATCTTATTGTCCAAATATATAATGAAGTATAGTAATCTCTGACCTATTAGCTTGAAACTTTGATTGGAAAATTTGGTTACAGAAAAGTTTTAATGTGGCAGGGAAGGGAAATAGTTGTTGCTTTTTACCATCTGCCTTTCCCCCGTCATATTGTTTATTTCACAGGAGTAATGCTTGGGCTGTCCAGATTAGTAGAGAGAACTTTAGTGAGCACGATGTTGCAAATGTTCTTAAACGTTTTGTCAGGTGAACTGGGCACGTGAAACTTAAGTTAATTGTACATTAATTGAAGTCTTAGATGTTTTTTATCAATAATTCTTTTATTGAAGAGATAAACCATTGTTACCCAACTCTTATATATTCAGACTACTAGATAAACCATTGTTATCCAACTCTAATATATTCAGACTACTAGATAAACCATTGTTAACCAACTCTTATATATTCAGACTACTAGAGAAACCATTGTTATCCAACTCTTATATATTTAGACAACTAGATAGACCATTGTTATCCAACTTTTATATATTCAGACTACTAGATAAACCATTGTTAACCCACTCTTATATATTCAGACTACTAGATAAACCATTTTTATCCAAACACTTATATATTAAGACAACTAGATAACCCATTGTTAACCCACTCTTATATATTTAGACAACTAGATTAACCATTGTTAACCAACTCTAATATATTCAACTACTAGATAAACAATTATTAACCCACTCTTATATATTCAGACAACTAGATAATCCATTTTTATCCAACACTTAAATATTTAGACAACTAGATAAACTATTGTTAACCAACTCTTATATGTTTAGACTACTAGATAAACCATTGTTATCCAACTCTTATATATTTAGACAACTGGATAAATCATTGTTATCCAACTCTTTTATATTTAGACAACTAGATAAACCATTGTTAACCAACTCCTATATATTTAGACAACTGGATAAACCATTGTTATCTAACTCTTATACTTTCAGACTACTAGATAAACCATTTTTAACCAACTCTTCTATATTTAGACAACTAGATAAACCATTGTTAACCAGCTCTTCTATATTTAGACAACTAGATAAACCATTGTTAACCAACTCTTATATATTTAGACAACCAAATAAACCATTGTTAACGAACTCTTATATATTCAGACAACTAGATAATCCATTGTTATCCAACTCTTATATATTTAGACAACCAGATAAACCATTGTTAACCAACTCTTATATATTCAGACAACTAGATAATCCATTGTTATCCAACTCTTATATATTTAGACAACTAGATAAACCATTGTTAACCAACTCTTCTAAATTTAGACAACCAGATAAACCATTGTTAACCAACTCTTATATATTCAGACAACTAGATAATCCATTGTTATCCAACTCTAATATATTCAGACAACTAGATAAACCATTGTTATCCAACTCTTATATATTTAGACAACTGGATAAACCATTGTTATCTAACTCTTATACTTTCAGACAGCTAGATAAACCATTTTTAACCAACTCTTATATATTCAGACTACTAGATAAACCATTGTTAACCAACTCTTCTATATTCAGACAACTAGATAACTCATTGTTAACCAGCTCTTCTATATTTAGACAACTAGATAAACCATTGTTAACCAACTCTTATATATTTAGACAACCAGATAAACCATTGTTAACCAACTCTTATATATTCAGACAACTAGATAATCCATTGTTATCCAACTCTTATAATTAGATAAGGTAATAATATGATATCCAACTATCCTTATTTATTTAATGTGGATATGAAGAATTAAGTTAGATAAGGTACGATGGTTGATCTTTTATTTATTTATTTATTTAATAATATGATATCCAGCTATCCATATTTATTTAATGTGGATGTGAAGAATTAAGTTAGATAAGGTATGATGGTTGATCTTTTATTTATTTATTTATTTAATAATATGATATCCAACTATCCTTATTTATTTAATTTAATGTGGATATGAAGAATTAAGTTAGATAAGGTATGATGGTTGATCTTTTATTTATTTATTTATTTAATAATATGATATCCAACTATCCATATTTATTCAATGTGGATATGGAGGAATTAGATAAGGTAATAATATGATATCCAACTATCCATATTTATTTAATGTGGATATAGAGGAATTAGATAAGGTAATAATATGATATCCAACTATCCTTATTTATTTAATGTGGATATGAAGAATTAAGTTAGATAAGGTATGATGGTTGATCTTTTATTTATTTATTTAATAATATGATATCCAGCTATCCATATTTATTTAATGTGGATGTGAAGGAGTTAGATAAGGTTTATATCCATTTATCCATATTAATTAAACGTGGATATGGAGGCACTATGAAAAAAGTAATGATATGATATTATAACTAAATGCGAATATTGAAGGCTTAAAACTTTAGGTTTAAATAGCTGAGTTTCATTGCTTGAACTCAATAGTCAATATCCAATCCATAGCTTAAACTTATTATTTCATGATTTTATTCTGGGGATTATACGCTGAAAATGCACCATGGGATATTTAGAAATACTTTTAAGAAATGGTTGGCTTTGAATTAACCTGCTGGAAGAGAAGTGGAACCTACTTAACGCGTCATGGACGGATTAAACAAAAGTTTTGAACTTTTAAATTGTTTTAAGGAGAAAAGGTTGCTGGATGTTCTTGAGAAAATCAACTATCCAACCCCTAGTACTGTAAAGAGGTCTGGAGATGTGAGGATGTGGTGTTATATTGAAACTAGAACATGTAAGCAAAACTTTATTGTACTTGTTAATGAAGTTTTTTTTTAACCAAAAAAAACATATTTAGAATCATAGTAGGTAATGGGGAAAATTGGTAACTTAGTTGGGATAAAAGTTGGGTGAAACTCTGCATGGTGTTCGGTTGCAAAAGGTGTTGTTCTCTTTTTTAAGGAAGATATTTGTTCATTTCTTTTTACATCAGTTCATTGAGACGTTTAGTCTGTTTTAGTAAATGATTTTATGCAATGCATAGCAACAAAATGTTGTCTGGAGAGGGTTCAGTAGGGGTTAACAATTGCTTGGAATAATATTTCGTTTCTTCTGTCCTGAAAAACTAATATGAATATATTTGTGGTAGGTGGTAAATGTGTGAGTATATCGCTGCACCCTAGTTTGACGGCGGGAGAGGCGGTTCTTCTTGTTGCTAAGGAAGCAAATCTTCAAGAATTTCAGGTTATTACAGTGATACTAATTTCAGGTTATTACAGTGATACTAATTTCAGGTTATTACAGTGATACTAATTTCAGGGTATTACAGTGAAAATAAATTATTCTGAAGGTATATAAAATTTTGAAAGTTGTTTTAAAGATGAAATATCTATGTGATATTATATTAAAAGATATTATTTAAAGATAATATTCTAAATAATTCTTTAAAATGAATTATCACTTTTTAAAGATGTTGAAGCATGCTGAAGATAATGTTTAAATGGATAATTTTGAAAATGATATATTTTCCAGAATCTTATATTTATATATAGTTGTAATCTCTGTTTGTTTGTTTGTATATACGATCATAACTCTGAAGCCCCTCCAACGATTTGTCTAAAGTTTTCATTGGCGAACCCGGGAGATCCACGGGAATGTTCTTAGCTTGGTATAGAAAGTCTAAGTTCAGTGGATTGACCTTGAAAAAAAAATCAGTTTCCTTATAAAATCGACCAAGTGCGGGTAAACGGCGAAAGTAACTATGAGTAACCTGGGCAACGCTGGGCACTTGAGCTAGTTTATTATAAAGATGATCAATATAACACATGTTTAGAATATGTTGATCCACGAGGTGGTTCTTGGTGAAACCCTGGAGAGACCTGTGCATTTCTCAGAGAAGCTTCTAGATCTTACTCTTAGATGGGGGTCTTGGCAGGGTAACATTGCTCTCAAATATTTTCATTATAATAAGCAATTTGCCTTATGTGCATACACCTATATATGACGTCATTGACCACCGTATTTTATAGTCAACAATTGATTTTTAGAATTAATCTTTTTTGCACTTCAAATGGTTGGAAATTTGTAATATGGATTTTACTTCTACTTAAATTTTATAATGAATCGGCCTTCCAGGGGCGAATATAGGATTTAAGTGAGGGGGGTGATAAATTTGTTTCGAAAAAATAATATCCAGATTTAGGAACCAAAAGACGCACGGAAGGAGAAATTTTTTTTACTTTCCTGTTTGCACTAGGTTTACTGCGGTCTTCTGTTAAAAAAGCTGAAATTGTGACATTTTTTGTTGTATTTAGTTATTTGATGCAGACTGTACCTGCATACTGCACTGTACAAATACTTAGATGCGGACTGTACTGTACATATATTTAGCAAGAAATAAGAATAAAGGGACGGGAAATGGCGCTGGTCTGGCATAAGAAAGCCAGCCGCACTGCTTTGCAGACGAGTTCGTTATTACACACGCACACTCTTTTGGTGCAGACGCACAATATGACTACAGTCAAGGAAATTGCAGAACAATGTCGGCAATTATAATTAAGCTTGAATAACGAGTAGTTTATTGTAAACTTTAATCAAATTATATTCTTTGCATGAAAATTTGGCTTATAGTTTTGACTTAAATGTAGAAATAATATATTACATGTATATTAAACTTATTTTTAAGTAAACAATTAACAAGAAACAAATGTACCCTCCTAGACTGTACTAATACCGAGATTCTTATGGACTGTATATACATAAAATACACGCCTTCGGCTTGGTATTATTTACACACCCTCTTTTGGTACAGACACACATGCATGACGTTTCCGCCCCCTGATATTTAGATGCTGACTGTACTGTACATATATTTAGATGCTGACTGTACTGTACATATATATTTAGATGCTGACTGTACTGTACATATATTTAGATGCTGACCGTCATAACAACTATCTGCTCCTGAAAGAAAACAAACTGTACGCGGACGCAGTTCCATGCGCAATCCCGCCACTCTCTATATTCTCAGAAATTCAGGGATAAATATTTCATTTGTATAATTCCTTATTTTAAATATTGTCATCGTAACTTCAAGAAATCCTTCATAAAAAAAGTTGCATGTCAGATTCACAACAGTACCTTTTAAATCTATAGCGGAGTTGCAATGATGAAGATATCGTCGTTTTTCTTTCTTAATTCCAACGATTTCCTTCATTCTCTCTGAGAAGAAATTCTTAAGTCACTTAATAAAGAAACCACAATTGAAAAAAATAAACTTTAATTCTAGAAAATAAGGATAACTCATTCATTTTTGTAATCATACAATTGCTACCGTTGTGAACAGGAAGATCACTTAATATCACGTCTGCATTCCATTTAAAGGAACAACATGGGACTGTAAAGGAAAAATGAAAAGGGGATATAGGCTGAAACCTGAGAATTTCAGGAGTTGAACAATACCTATAAGAGTTCAATCTGAACTTTGATTTGATTTGACCTTCTCTATCTGTCTATTTCAGTGTGTGATATGAATTAATCTAAAAAAACTCGAAATATTTAATAAATATTTAATAAATCTCCAGTTCTCGGAAAATAAACCTAAATCTAAGTTCTCCAAACTTCTGTTCAGTGTCTCAAACGCCAGCATTACATGCTACAAGGTGAGCTAGATATATTTTTTACTTTTACAATCTTATTTAAACTTTGTAATTCACGTAAATTTACCATTTAAAAATTACAAACAAAAAATTATTTTTTGGACATATAAGATATGCAAAATGAATTTTTCAATATTAAATCAAAAAGAGGGCTTATCAAGGATATTTCCTAAATATTTTTTTTTTGAAGGAACAAACATGAATAGCTTTTAAAACGGTACAAAAAATTATCATGAAAACATTTGGGTAAAAACTGAATTTAATTGATAGCAGCAAGAATAAATGAATTAATATGTGGAGGAATTCGATAATAATGCAAAATTGCTGAAATGATAAATATGTAATGTAATGAGTTATGATCATTACACCTCTACTTTTTGCGTAATTTTGCATTTTTTTTTGTAAAACTGGTATATTCGAAATATCTGAACAAATAAAATACTACACCATTGATATGCAGGGTGTCCCACGAAACATGACAGTTGGTAAATAGTTTTAAATGTCTTCTTCTATAATTTGTTAAGTTGTTTGATACTAAAGAGAATATTAAAAAATATAATTATAGTAAAATTGATTTCAAAATAACATATATGCAAGCAAAAAATATTTTCAACAATAAAATTCAAAAACTTAAGTATCTAATATAGTATATGGAAGACGACATTTAAAGCTATTAACCAATTGTCATGTTTCGTGGGACACCCTGTATGTACGTATACCTTTGTGTTTGAATTAATTCTAATTTTTAGGAGGACAAATCCGGGCAATCTTCCGAAATTAGTGCTTGGCCCGTAGAGGATCTCATCTGGTATATAGGTATGCGCTTTCACACTTTAAAGGCTACCACCCACGTCCCTCCCCCTTAGAGTAAAGGGTTGCATCGCATGTTCATTGTGCATAGCCCAATTAATTATTTTAATGGTTCAGGTGCTAGGGAGGTTTTAAAAAATGTCAAAAAATTGTCGGAAAATATATTAAATAAAAATTTGGTTCCGACAAATAAGTACATGTCACACATATTATTACATTCATTTTTATTCTTGTATATCTATGGGTTGTACATGGTCTTGGGGGGGAGCCGGAAAATCGGCGCTCTACACGCGCAAAAAGTTTTAATTTACCCCCCCCCCCCCTAGAAAATCCTTACATACGCCCCTGCACCTACAGGCCTTTTATCTTTCTGCATGCGCTTTAAAGAAATTGCAAAAATCCTTAAAATTACTATGCCTTATAAATAAAAATTTCAAAGAGTATTAAAAATAAGAGTGCTAAGGCAAAAAACATGATTTTATAACTAAACATGATTTTATTTCTAATCGTGATTTTTTTGCTTAAGGTTGCGAGAAGAAGAGAAATCCTCCCCATCCACTTAACCTTACTTTTATTGACAAAGACGAGCCACTGCGCACAAAGGAAGCGCCACTCTTCGGCCGCGTTCTGTCTTTCAGCAGTCGTGAGCTGTTCACCAAGTGGTTAGCAGCTCTCCTGGTGGCGGAATATGGAACTAATATTGTTCAAAACAATCTTGTTATTCTTGATTAAAGATTTCCACTTAATTGAATCATCATGAACTCGATTAAATAATTAAAATATTGATCAATATTTGTTCACTGGATAAAAAATTATCTATGTAACCTAGGTGAATTATGACCGCCATATAAATGTAATTCAAATGGTTTGTAATTTAATCAATTAGTTGGTCGATTTTATTTTCTGACCTCACGATTAATCAATTGAAAAATTAATTAATCAATTGTCATGTCTAAAACCAATTGAAGTTAAAGACTCAATGTAAAAAGATCTCAATTTCGAAATGATAATTACTATGACCTTTATCTTTAAAAACTCAAATTTTTAATTGCAGATTTTAACTTATTTCTTGTCGTGACTTGAGAACTTGAACTTTCACAAGGCTTTTAAATATTTAAGTAATCCTTTATAAAGCAGAGGTTGTTAAAGCGAGGCATGGACACGAGTTTTCTAAAATTGATTTTATCTGTTGCCATTTTTTTCATTTGTAAAACTTCGTTTAAATCAAAGGATGTAGACTCAAACATTCCTTGAGAAAGTTTTCTTCTAAAAAAATGGTAATCCGACTTTTTTATATTTTTTTATCAGATATATTGTATTAAAAATTATTTATTTCATCATAATTGTAAATTATATTTTCAAATGCTGAATAGTTAAATCGTTGTAAAAGAATTATTTAAATAAAGATTTAATTTTAAACAGCAACACACACAGATATTCTTTATTCAGGAAAACTTTTGTAAAACCTTGAATAATTATGGCATTTTACAAGGTGAGTTTAAGAAAGCAAGATTCATCTTTATTGTTCATTGAACAGCAATAAAGAATAAAAACTGCGCAAATAATGTTTTCTTTTTGAAAATCAATCTTTCTCCAAATTTTGATTGAAAACTGTTAATTTTTTTCCCCCAAATATGATAAAAATGTATCGAAATGTACAGGGTTAACCACAAAGTATGAGACGATTGTACGGAATTTTTACTGTCTGAAACTGTAAACTTGTTTCTTTGCTAAATTAAATAATCCATTAGAGAACTATATCTAAGGCAGAATACATACATGATTTAACCTTGGGATATATTTTATATACATAATTTAACCTTGGGATATATTTTATATACATAATTTAACCTTGGAATATATTTTATATATATATACATAATTTAACCTTAGGGTCTTTACATTTCAAGAGTTTCTGGTCTCATCCTAATTGTGGGTAAACCTGTAAAATAGATGTAACACAAAGATTAGAATAAATATAGAAATGAAACTACTTCAAAAACATGGCGGGTTTGTTGTACTGTTGCATACTCTTGACATAATTTTGGGTCCTAAAACTCTTTAGAAAAATCTTCAGCTTGATTTTAACCCTTGCTTTGACAACATGCAATCTGTGTTCATTCCAACATCAGCTATAATTTACATTTCTAAGATTCAACCGCGTTGCTTAATAAAAATTAAGATATAGTTAAAATCAGAAAATAATATAATAGGAAGACGACATTATGACGACACTTAATGAATTTGATGTTGTTATAAAGCAAATAGTTGTACTAGTCACTTATTGAATCACTAATTTAGTGAAATAGGTCTGTTTAAACTGCATGCTAATTGAACTAAGTTAGAACTAAAAGTCATCTTCCTATTCTCTGTTTTCTTGTTCTCACTGTACTATTAATTTTATTTGTGAATTATGTTCCTAAATGTTCCTGATAATTTGTTTTATAATACTGCTGCACTCTCAGTTCAATTACCATACCTAGCCAGTCACTCCCTTTAAGAGCTTGAAGTACAATCCCCTTCTCACAAGAATTTTGTTTAAAACATTTCTGTCTTAAATTCGTTTCACTCTCTCTAAGAACTGTTTACTGTCATATCTAAAAAAATCTGCAATCTACTGCTAACTTATTTTCTGTACTTTGGCGGTTATTTTTTAAAGGGACTCGGCCTTGACGGAATGACGAAAGATGAATCTTTGCACTTGAGAACGCATAGGCGCACAGAAAAAGGTGAGTATCAAGTAACATTTTGATGTTTTTTGACTAGGCGCACAGACGCACGGAAAAAAATGACATATAACCCAAATTTTGATTTTAGGGCTATTTACATCTACAGGAACCATTCTGTCTATAAAGTTCCGTCCCACCGCGCCGTCCCATCCTCCAGTAATACAATAAACAGTAGGAACTTAGTTTATCCCAAACCTTTTCAGGAAAGTGTAGGCTGGGAGATACAAATAGGGTTTCCAATCAGGATTCCGTTGCGCGGAATTTTGCGGAATTTCTCGGAATTCCGTGAAATTAATGGGCGCGCAGAGACGACTGTAGAGAGTTTGCTCAGCCTTCTTTCTAAAACTGTTATGCTGCAGCTGTACACTTGTTTTCTCATGGCGAAATCCTTCAATACATGATCAAAAGACTATTTTTAAGCAAGAAACCCGAATTCAACTATAGGAATCGTTTTATTACAAGAGTTTCAGGTCGTCAACAAAGTCTCATCCTTTTTGGGTAACGTAACCCTGCATAGAAAGGATAGCGTACCGGAGCTGAATATGAATGAATAACAAATTGATAAAGAGTAAAGCAGTTGTTTTCGTGTTAGAAACAGTTGTTAAGTTTTCTCAGTGCATAAAATTTTAAAATGTTCTGCAAAAACTCGTACATTACTTTAGAATTTAAAAGATTTGCCAAAGAAAAATTTTGATTTTTGGGATTTTGAGGCCTAGTAAATCAGGGTAATTTCTTGTTTTGCTGCAGTGCTCTTGTTTTTGGCTAAAAAATAATGTAATTTAATTAACAATGTGCAAAAGCAGTTTTATGTTCATAGAAAACAAAACAAAACCCAAGTCTTTGTGAAAAACTATATCTTTCTTTACATTTCGATGGGAAAACGTTTATTTATTTTAATTCTCAAAATTTCATCAAAATAATAATATAAATGTTTTGACAAATATTTCGCAAAAATGGTTGGTGTGCTAATCTGTAGATCCAAATATTACGTAATGACTATAACTAATCATCAAACAAAGATGTATTTACTGTTTAAAAAATCCTCAATGTTAAGAATTACACAACAAATATGTTTTTAATAGAAAATTCTATATTGCCACCTTTGTTCAGATTTTTACAAACTATATACACAGAAAAATTGTTATGCGGATTTTTATCTATTAACAACAAAATATTTTAGAATTTTTAAAACTTTATTTTAATATGTTTCGACCTAAAACATAAACCTTGCAAATATTGTTTAGTACTGTTTTTTAAAACAACGCCAGTTCCATTTTAATACAATAAAGCTGCATGTTGTCTCTCTAGATGACACTTGTTAGTACGTCTCGATTGCACTGCTTCTGAATTATACTAGACCAATTTTACTTTCCACTTTTTTGCAAATGAGATATACTATTGTTGATTTATTTTTGGCATTGAATAAAGTTTTAAGAAGAATTCTTTAAAAATATATACTAAGATCGAATAGTGAAATATGTTTTTAATCCTAAACCTAAGAAAAGGCGTTCAACTACAACATTAATTAAAAAAAAATCTTTTTTATATTGCTTTTTTTCTGTGATTTTAAGGAAATTCGCCTAAATTATAAAACCTTAAGTTAAACCCTTAGAGTTTAAAAAATGTTAGCTGTGAGATCAAAGTGAAATATCTATATAGTTGTAACCTCTGTTTGTCTGTCTGTTTGATGGGTTTCCGATCGTAACTCAGGAACCCCTTGGCCGATTTGCCTCTAATTTTGAGCGAGAGAAACCTGAGAGTGTTCTGTGCTCGTTTTAAAAATTTGAATGGATTGTAATTTATTGAGAAAGTATAGTTTCCATGCAAAGCTGGGTTCCAAAGATAGTCTATATACATATCTAGCTATTTTTCTCCATAAAAATAAAACCATTAAACTTAGAATCTCAAAACCAAGCAAAGAACATTCCCGTGGGTCTCACAAGTTCCCCAATAAAAGTTTAAGACAAATCAGGNCCCAGTTTCCTAGAGTTTCAAAATACGTTTTAAGAACATGAAACCCGAACTCTGCCAAACCTGGGTTTCAGGAAACCTGGTATCGTAGCGAGTTTTATAATTTTCTTAAGTTTTGCACTCCGGCTCGGAAATTCGAAATGTACTACGGCTGCCCGTGAAGAAAGTGGGATATGTATCAGTTTAAAAATAGCATGATATATGCAGGGTAATCGTTCAAACTGGGGAATAAGTTCTCTTAAAACTTAAACCTTCTTTTTTCCCTGAAATTATTCCTCCTAGGAAAATGGACCTCGGAGGTCTTAATGTTTACCAAGATAGGCCAACATGGCGGCCTTATATATACATAAGAAAAAGACCGGGAAAATGGAAAAATATTAATTAAATTAACAGTTGGTAACTTCAAGGAAGACTTAGTAATTTCTTTTTTTACAGATATAATGAACACAAAGATACATACGACAATAATTAAATTACTTCTGGAAAAAAGATAAATCTGTGGAAAACTCAGGTACAAAAAAAAACAGCAATATATGTATACAATATTCATTGATCATAAAGATACAATATACATAAAACATATGCAACTTTTTTACGATCTAGCTAAACTCTCAAAGAAACTTTCTCTTAAATATCTCAAAACTGGTGGATATCCAGGAATATGTTAATGTTAAATGGTATTGCTGGTTTTATATCATTATTATAGTTAATGCAGATGATCATTTTTACATTTATTTTCTGTATTTACTCCAATACAATTTGTTGTGTTGCATTACTAACTCCCAAGGTTCTCCACAGTGCATACCTGCATTTTTCATTTTGTTCAGGTATTGGATGGGCTGAACAGAAGTTAGATGGGATGAGCATAAGCTGGATGGGATGAACAGGAGTTGAATGGGATGAATAGAATGACAGTTGACAGTGGTCTGGTTGTAGTAGGGTTTATCACCCTGGTGTATATCATTCTAGGAACGAAAATAACTATTATCATTCATTTATACGATAAGAATAACTTTCGGTAATCGTAACTTTTATGAAACCCGTCATAATTAGATGTACAAAGGTGCATGGGGGGGCCACGTTGACCTGTGCCCTAAACTTCCCCCTTTACAGTGAACTGTGCCTTAAACTTCCCCTTTTACAATGAACTGTGCCTTAAACTTCACCCTTAACGGTGCAATGTGCCTTAAACTTCACCAAGAGGAGGAACTGTGCCTTAAACTTCCCCCTTTACGGTGAACTGAGCCTTGAACCTCACCCTTTACGGTAATGTGGGCTCAAACTTCACCATAGAGGGGGAACTGTGCCATTATCTTACCCTTTTCCAGTTAACTGAGCCTTAAACCTCACCCTTTACGGTGTGATGTGCCTTAATCTTCACCATAGAGGGGGAACTGTGCCGTAAACTTCCCCCTTTACGGTGTAATGTGCCTTAAACTTCCCCCTTTACGGTGAACTGTGCATTAAACTTCCCCCCTTACGGTGTGATGTGCCTTAAAGAAAATTTATCGTATAAGTAAAATTTATAATTTTGCCTTTAAGTTACAAATATTTAGAAATATTTAAGTTGGTAAACAAAGCCATCTATGATAGAAAAAAATAGTTGTTTTAATTCATCCAGTTTTCGGACTTTTCTTCTACGTAAAGAACGATTGGTGCGAGCTGCTCTTTAAAAATGACACGGTAAGAAAAAAAACATCAAACAGAAATAGATTTAACAGACATCCAAGAGTATTAAAATAGAATTAACAGACATCCAAGAGTATTAAAATAGATTTAACAGACATCCAAGAGTATTAAAATGAGTTTGGAAGTCTTTCTCTTAAAAAAAAAGTATTAAACAATATAAAAAGTTGGATGAAGGTATGTGTATATATTTCCTTAGCCTTTTTGCTTCTTAGTCTTATATCTACACAAGGATTTAAGGATATTAATGATAATATTATTAATATTTAACAATTACAACATTTAACATTAACTTATATTCTGTCTGTAAAATATGTTAATACAAGAAAATTGTTGAAGATTTTCCTGTTTTTCGTGGTATATTTTCAAAAGAAAATCAGAAGTCAACATTTTTTGAAGCATTTTTAGATTTTAGCCGCCCCAAAACCTTCCCTGCAGAGGTCATGTGGGTTATCATTAAAAAAAGTTGCCTGATTGGTTTATTTAACCAATTTTTATCGCATACAAACTAAATATGAATATATGTAGATATATAATACATTGTAAAATGTAAGTGTTAACAAAAAATGTAGAACATTTTATCCTAGCTCAGATTTAGGTTTAAAATAAACCAAATAAGCGACTTTTGTTCGATACACGCAATTTTGTGTCGCTTATTTGGCAGGCACCCCACTCAATCAGCGATTTTTTTCGTCATTTCGAAATTGTTCACCTTTTTGGTTTAAAACAAACAAATATATATTACAGACAAACGTATAAATAGATAGATAGATAGATAGATAGATAGATAGATAGATAGATAGATAGACAGACAGATAGATAGATAGATAGATAGATAGATAGATAGATAGATAGATAGATAGATAGATAGATAGATAGATAGATAGATAGATAGATAGATAGATAGATAGATAGATAGACAGATAGATAGATAGATAGATAGATAGATAGATAGATAGATAGATAGATAGATAGATAGATAGATAGATAGATAGATAGATAGATAGATAAATAGTATAGATTAATGATGTACGCACTATGTACATGTATCCTGTTACAGAAATAGAATATGAACATAATGATATATACTTACTGTATGGTAAGAGTATACAATGAGTGATGTTTTATTGGTAAGAACATACAAAACTTTATTATTATTGATAGATATATGTCTGTAATTCCATAAGCTCTTTTATTGAGGCCATCTTTCTTATTAAAGGGACTGTAAGTGTAATTTTAAGTGACCCTCCGTGCAATAATGGCATTGCCATTTATTTGCGGTTTCTCTACGAAAGTGACTTCATTTCTTGTTTTTAAGAAGAAATGGAGATTCGGGGTCCAGGGATCCCCCTCCGATCCTCCCTTAAAAAAATGTATCATATTTTTTTCAGATTTATATTTATTACTTCAGCTAAAATATTACAGTATTATCTTATATTTACAAATACTACCATCAGTCCGAAACTACAAATAAAACTTCAAATCAAATCAAATCAAATCAAATCAAATCAAATCTGTATAAAACGTAAAATACAATTAATTCGATATGAAATTGGGTTCAAAGTGTCCGTAGGAGGCCTCACTTTTCCAGATCGGAAAGGGTTTATACCTAAACAATTGGCAATTTTATGTTATTAAATATATGCAATTAAGTATTGTGCAGTTTGTTCAACTTCATTGAGTTTAAAAAAAAAAAACATTTTAATTTACATCCAATGTGAACAAATGAATAATGTATTATGTTAAATCAGTCGCTTTTAACCCAAAAAAACTTTAAAATTTGGAAACTGTTAACCCTCGATTTTTTTTAATCTGCATAGATAAATACTGTCCATTCTCTTATCTGTCCCAATCCGGTCCCAATTCTAGATTATAGAATTCTTAATGGGAAAGCACGTGCAATTCACAAAGTAAGTCCGCACAATTCTGCGAATATTTAATTGCTTCCCTGTTCGCAATCATAGCGCAAGTCCTGGCAATCCAACGACACAGGCTGATCATTGCGTGCAATTGCGCGAAATTCTTGGCAACGGAATTTCGATTGTAAACATTACTAAATAGTATAAAATAAATGTCTAGGGAAGTATAAACAATATTAAGTGAACGACTATTATACAACATCGCCATTTAGATTTTTAATTGAAAAACATTGGGGAATATTTATCATTCTTGTTTAAAAAATATTGAAAGTATGGAGAACCCACAATTAGAAATCATCAATTATAATTATAATTATAAAACATTTTAATCATTTTCGCTAAGACAAATATTTAAAGGTACCGGTGTGAATCGGACATGCGCCTTTTGGAATGGAAGATCATTTGAAATTACATTAGACATTCCCTTCAGAGTTTTGAAGGGGTTTAAGATGGTTATACCTTGGGGACTCGATGTACTGTTTGACCCCTTTGATCTGAGCAAACCTGGCATGAAAACTAGATAATCCAGGCAGCTTTTCTAAACACCCAGGGAACAGAAGCCTTCACAAATGATTTTTAAATCAGTTATTTACGTGATATTTCCAACATTTTTGTTTATAAACATACTTTAACAAGATCAATTGATTAGAACAAAAATAAAAAGCAATATGGACAGACAGCACAATTACTGTTAAATGAAACCTTTCCGATTTTATTTTATTTTCGATAAGTTATGTCAACAATTTTTCCGCAGAAGGACAAAATATTTTGACAGATTTTTAAAAATATCGACTACAGTTCATTTTCTACAACAGGCTTTAATACTATGAACGAAACGCAAATTATCATTTGTAGAATGAGTTTTTTTTTCCAAGTTTGAAAACCTTGAAATAAGATGGTCGGCATGTTTAAGAATATTTTGTATATTATATCGTGGCTACTGATGTGATTTTCAGTTTATATATAGAAACAGGTTGCAAACATAAACCAAATAAAAACATCTATAATTTTCCGTATATTGTTGTATCTTTTTGTTATTTGCGCAGTTTAATTGTATTCACATAAAGATATTGTTGCTATACCTGTATATATCTAGAACCTCCCAAATCAAGAAATCAGCAATAGTAATCTCATTGTTGACAAACCAAACATTTCCGCCTAAAGTTATTGGCCATTTGAGGATATTCAAGATTTATTTATTTCTTTTTACAACATTCTGTTCCGTGGAAATTGAGAGACAATTTGGAAAAAAGTATCTTGTATTCTACTTCTCTGTTAATAGTTTAAAGTATCTTGTATTCTACTACTCTGTTAATAGTTTAAAGTATCTTGTATTCTACTACTC